ATAAATACTTGTTACTAGTACAGGCTGTGTATATCTCCCCAAGTCGAATAGTTCCCGTTTTTTGAGATGAAATATTGGAAACTGTATCGGAAATTATTGGCTAAGCTGATACAACATATTTTACTAGTAACAAGTATTTATAATAAGCAAACTCAATATCTAGACAAAAACGTCTTGATGGCAATGAACGACTCAGTTAAAGGAAGCTTTCTAGGCGTTCAGCAGTGACGCAGTTCGAGCCGTCTTATGCGCGAAAGATGTTTCCTTGCTTCGACGAGCCCAATTTCAAGGCTACCTTCGAGGTATACAATAGAATTCTCCTTTTGTTAAAACTCCTTCAAAATATTTCTATTTGAACTCGCCTTCGGCCACCATTTCTAGTTTGCCTTACGTCACCATGTGTGTGAATCTTAAGGCACGTCAGGCAATAGTCACTTGGGCGGAGGAACGGATAGAGATCCAGACTCGCAGTTGACACGATATTTGTACTCGGCCTAAAATGCTAGCAGGGCGCTATATAGTGGGGAAAATGGCGAAAGAACGGAGTGAAACGGTCAAAATCCTGCGAAAAAGCCTTCGTTCTCAATGACTTAAAAATCAATTTCGGACGAGTTTCCCATAGGCATCTTGCCAATAACCGCTACCGAAGATACGGCTGCATGTATGTACTCATATATCCATGCAGCACCGCCGCCGCTTCATACCAATCCCTTCACTTCATAATTTGCTTAGCAAATGAATCAATACGAGCGTCAGGAACGGTCGTCCATTTGTGGGCGGGCGGGCGTGGAGGGATCCGTTGTAGCTTGATAGGGCCCTTATAAGGGTGCCTTCCTTGGAAAGAGCGCTATGCAGCGCCTGCTCAGGGGCGCGGAATTCCGTCCTGCCAGGCATATTAATCCTACTCGTCTTTAGGGATTTATCGTGCCAACTGCCTTTAAGGCACCAGAAAGAGGGACACGCATGTGCGGAACGCGCAACTGCTAGGTGTCTCCGGCCACTTCTCTCCCAACCGTCTGCCGTGCAATGTGCCCTCGAAGATATGCTGTGCACTCTTCTTGGAGGATCCTGATTCTTGCCATCTGCGAGGTTAACGAACCAGAGCGGTAGAAGTGTGCCAGTTTCAACACTTAGGCAGCTCACCAAAAGGTTTGTTCGGCGTCGAACCGCACGTTGTAGATAGCGGATGGGGTCTGTACAGTCCCGCGTGCAGTTATCACAACACTCTAGCTTCATGCCGGCGCACTTTCGAATGATGAAGGAGGCACACTTCTACAGCAGCGGACCAGTCCACCCTGCAGATGGCAAATATACAATAGGAGGCACAAAATTATACCAGCTATTCGAGTAGCTCGTCCAAATAACCTCCATCCTTGAGTTGAGTTCGTTCATCTCAAGCAACGGGAAGGCGGTTCTCGGGCGGGGGCGTAACGATCTAGGCAGCAAAACCATGGCAAAAACGGTTCCAGATTCTTAAACCGCAGCGAATGATTGCGACGATATCAACTGTAGCGCACCACTATTATACTCGAAATCCCTGAGATCGGGTAGGCGTGGCCGCATGTTTCAACTTAACCTGAAGGTGTCTATGCTTCTGGTGAGATATTTTCATCTTGACACAATTGTTGTCGTGTCTCTGTCCAACATAGAACAAGATGACAGTTGCTCCAGACTGGAATATTCCACGAGTAACCAGTTCCGTGCCAGTTCGAATGCCGCAGGCCCTACTCCGGCTCAGGGATAAGGAGTGTATTATGCTCAAAGGCAACGCCCGCAATCACAGATAGCATATAGTAGAGCTCAAATACGATCAACAAGGCAGTAATGGTAAGTAACTGAGTAATGAAGAAAAAAAAGCAGAAAAAACGTGCGGGATTCCCTGCTGATACCAGCTTGTACGTGCATACAGTGAAGAGAAGGCGTGTTTGTACGAATCCTCTTTTGTAGTTATCATAACGACATCAGCTCTTTTCCGTTATCACTTGACTCTCACCATTCGGAATGATGAGAGTTAGTAGAGGGGCTACTAGCTAGTAGATAGCATCCTCTCGGGGTCGGTATAGGCCTAAGGGCGCTCATGGGCCTAAATGTTCAATTTCCACTGGAATTCCTGCACTTTCTGGTTTCAGGGCAGTGTTGTCTCTACAACCGCCTGCCGCATCATCCAACACATTTCAGAGCATATAGCTTTTGTTTATCGGGAATATGCCTTTGAAAGTAACACCATAGGCTTGATGGTTGCCATCGACGTGCGTCAAACAGTAACAATCTCACTATGAACATGTCTGCTCCCCTTTAATTGATAGGCAGAGCAAGCATTCAAGCATGCATAAGCAACTGAGATTGAGGAACTTGAAGTAACGTACATAGTCCAGTCTAACGGTTTTTTCTTTCTACATTTTTTACGATTTTAGGAATGAACATTTTTTTTACATTTTAGGAATGAATTCAGTGTGTATTCTTTTCTTATTGAGATGCGAGTAATGTGACTGTTTGAGGTATCAGTAATCCGAGAACCGCATCATGTTGTTCGTTCCAATATGAAGATGAAGTTATCCGAAGAACATGTCGACGGGTTTGTGCTCCATTTCTACAATAATTTGAAATATTTCACCCTCATTTTCTCTCTACTTTCTGAATTGTTGTGCAATGTTAAAATGATTCGGATGTTATTTTATGGTTATCAGATCAAATATTCTAGCAGATCTTGAGTCCTGATCCCGTTTCTTTGTGTCCTGGCTTCGGATGTCATGGCGAAAGAACTCAGGGAGGGCCACTGAAAACCATCCTTTACGCTGACGACATCGCTCTGATAACGACACCAGAGAAGAACTCCAGGGCAAGGTGCAAAGGCGGTAGCATCGTGAGGAATGGATTCCGTCAGAATTTAGAAAAGACCATGTCATTGAGCTCCGATGATTACACCGAACCCATCATGGACCGCTTTAGCAAATGTATCGAAAGCGTCGAGGACTACCCGTGCTTGGATAACGATCCAGCAGGTGACGGTAACGTGGACTAGACAGTGAGTGCTTGAGTAAATGCAGCCTGTATGAAGTGGAGAGCTTGAGCGCTCAACGGCAAGGTATACGGTCAACTGTAAGGCCTGGAATGCTCTACGGCAGGGGAGGGGGAAGTTGACCCTTAAGCAAGAACCATGGAAAGCAACGCCAATCAGCCGATGAGGATGTTGAAATGAGGCCTGCGGCTGAACACGACTCGAGAGAGTCAGAAACGAAGACGTCAGGGCGGTCACATAGACGGCTCCGATCCAGCTGAAGGCACGAGAGCAGCGACTGCAGATGGTATGGGCACGTACTGAGAAGGCCTGAAGGCCACCCGATGAAGAAAATGGTAAGCTACCACGAGAAGCTCCGAAAGCAAAGATGGAGGGACGTCATCAAGAAGGACTTCACTGAAGTGAAAGCCACGGCAGAAGATGCAGTGGATCGGAACAGGTGGCGACGTCAACAAGAACAAAGGGCCCTGCAATGGCGTGGCAATAACACTAACCAGGAAAGAATGGTCGAAGTGGCCATTCGAAATGAGATGAAAACTCTCCGATAGGCCTTTGGACGCTGATTACAAATCTGCCTTCCATATCTGCTAAACGATTCTCTGCGCCAAGTTGTGCAAGTTTTTCGACCTGGTCATACCATTCTCAAAATGCATGTAAGGCGCAAAAAAGCCCCCAGATTCGCTAGAAGTCGAAACTGGAGGTGGTCTGGTGCTCTGGAAATCGACCCTGCGGTAGTTTTTTTTACCAACATATCACTTCACATTCTGGCGTCATCGTCTGTTTGAGCGACTTGGGCGCTAAAGAGGGGCAGGCTGTACAGTAGCCGGCAGCGCCCATGGCAAGCGTTTTTGCGCCGAACCAGTGTGATATTCGTGTTCTGAAGCTCAAATCAGCAAGTTTTTAGCCAAATCTAAGATTTTGACCGTTTTTGGAAACAGTGGGTAGCCATGGTCGCTAATCTTTAAGGGCAGCGCTCGGTTCATTTTTGTTGTTCTCCAGCAGCCCTCCTCTGGACTAGCAGCTCCCCCTATGACATGATGGCGGGGCCATGTTTCGCAACCCAAAAATGCGACGGAACAGCGGCGTCCGCCCGCAAAGAGCCGACGGCTCCGCCCACCTGCCGACCACGCCACCCAACTTCATTTCTAATGGTTGCCTGATGGTGCGGTTGTTCCATTGCTGCTCTCCACGTGGAGTGGTGAGAGTGAGATGATAAGGGAAAACAGCTGATATGAACAAGTGGAAACTCGTGCAATCACTCCTTCTTCTTCGCCTTAAGCACGTACAACCGTTGTTCGGTATGAAACTCCTTCTAGAGCATTTTGCGTGTTTTCTCTTCGATTTTTTTTTCTTCCGTTCACTAATAGGCTTCTTGCTACCTCGCTGTTACTACCTGAGCCGCATACTCATTAAATTTGAACGCGGGCGCTGCCTTTAAGGTCGCTGGCATTATCCCAGATCAAAATACCAAAGGCGATAGAGCATTCCCGCTGAATCTCAATTTTGTAGGTTACTGACGGTCCTGCTCACAAATACGACATTCATTTCTGTCCTCCATGCCATTTGGCATCATTCTGCTGACATAACATTACCCAACCGAATGGTACTGCTGCAAATCAACGATCAGAAGTATCCTTCAGGAGCGCTCCAGAATGACTCCACTCCTTCAGAAACAACATTTTTAGGCAAAAACAGGTCCCTTAGCCACGTAAAAATGCTTTTAGGACGTGCAGAGAGCGTTTTCAAAGAAATGCAAAACAGCGCTCTCACGAATGATTCGAACCCTTCAGCATACGCACATGAAGCAGGTCGCTAATGTACTACGCCATCGGAGCAAATTCTCTGTAGGATCATCCATTATTTATCTACTTGTTGACATTGGTGGTCCCGAGCACTGGTCTGCTCAAAAGCGTCCATAATTCTGTTCGGAGAATCGTTTAGCAGATTTGGAGGGCAGATTTGAAATCAGTGTCCAAAGACGCATCAGCCGGTATACATCTCATTTCAAATGGACCACTTCGACCAACCATTCTTCCCTGGTAGGGACAAAAAGAACGAGAAGACATACCAGTACTTGAGTGCTCAGTCGATATAGTGAAATCACAAAATTTGACTTCAGTTGATAATATTTCGTGATTTTTTTTGTCTGAACATTCTCCTCTCCTTTTAAAAGCAATCGAAACGAATAGCAGAAATAAATATGATGAAAATATATAGGAAAAATGTTGGAGTTAGTCTGAATGGGTTTTCAGCCTCTACATCGACGTGTTTCATCGGACGGTCAAAATGAGTACCTATTTACTAGCGGTAGCGATTCTCGACAATTATGACTATGTGAAGAGAACGACAAAGAAAACACAAGCGCCTATCGAGGTTTCTTTTGTAACTCACAAATTTTATCCCTTAAGGGACCCACGTTGGACGTATGGGGCAAATTCTCGTGATTTCTCTCGGAAACCCATTTTTTAGGTACGGTTGTATGCTCCAAAGGATGTGATTAAAGGCCAGGCGGAATTTGGTCTCGACACTGCCATACGCTCATTAGAATTCTTTGAAAATTACTTCAACATATCGTATCCGTTAAATAAAATCGGTGAGCCTCTTGAACGTATTTTCATTTAGCTGTCATAATTTTTTCTTCACTATTGACTCATATACTGTCGTGATGGGAGAGTCGTTAGGTCCCGCCATACTTTGCGTAATCTTGTCGCCGAAGACGCGCGATTGAACGCGCGAGTAATCGGAATGAGAGGGTTAGTTACCGGGCAATCGCGCGAGACGAATTAGGGAGCATCGTTGGGGATTTCCCAAGAGGGGGTTGTACTTGGCCGCTGGGGGATCGCATTTGTTCTGAGAAATTTTTTTGGTAGTCAAATCCCCTTGTTCTCCGCTAACAGGCTATTTCGTATTTGCTCGTTGTTGGGAGAGCGAGGGTCCCATTTGCCGTCTGAGAGAGATTTGCAGC